TCAACTGTTCATCAAGAATTTGTCAGGGTCTGTGCTCTGCTGAGCACTGTGCTAGGGGCTGCTGAAGGAGATTAAGACGGACCCACAGCATCAAAGAGGTTTATTCAGATCAGGGCAAAATAACTTAACAGCAAGTACTTTGTGCCATCCTTGGTGGTTTATACAGTCAACACTATTCTCCAGAGGAATGGCAGAGATTAGGAGTTGGGATATCAGCAAAGGTGGGATTATTTATGATTGACTAGCATCATTACTTAAAGTTTAGGCTTTTATGGCCTTGGGCTGAATCCATGCTCAGCCACTCTTCAGTCGAGTATCCTAAGTGATAGCTAGCTGACCTGTCTCAGTTTCCTCATTTACCAAATGGTAATACAAATGGTACATTTGTGCTAAGAGGCTCTGTGAAGATGAGCAAGGTCACATTCTGCTATCAATAAACTTTTATTTTTTCCTTCACTACTACACCACCACCACCTTCAGTACCAGGCTTTTGAAGACTGAGAGTCATTGCTAATGGACACGCCCAAGAAGGAAAGGCAAAGGGAATGAGAGCTAGAGATAGGAAAGAAGGAGCCAAATGTCTTGCTTCTAGACTGTGGAGGACAGTTTAGACCACAACAAAGAGCAGTTCTCCAGATAGTAGTGGGAGAAGATTGAATAAAGAAGGCAGACAAAAGACAAGGACAATCTTGTGTAATTCTATAGAAGCCTGTAGCTCTATACCCCAAAAGTTACTGGAGGATAATATCTGCCACATGTGATAATAGTGTGGGGCGAGGGGAACCAGCAGTTCAAATTGATTTACCTACTGATTGGATTGCAATATAGTAAAAGTGACTTTGCTCTCCCTGTTTGCAGTTCATTAAGCATTTCCCCACATTTTTAAACAGCAAATATAAACTGTACAGCCAAAGGTACGGGTGGCTCACACCTGTAATCCTACCTACTGAAGAGGCAGAGATCAGGAGGATCATGGTTTGAAGCCAGCCCAGATAAAGGGTTTATGAGACCCTGTCCTGAAATTATCCAATACAAAACATGGCTGGTGGAGTGGCTCAAGTGGTTGAGTGCCTGCATAGCAAGCATGAGGCCCAGAGTTCAAACCCCCAGTTCTGCCAAAAAAATATATTAACTGTACAGTGGGGGTGGTTGTTTTAATATTTCTATACATGTGTATGCCTTGATCATAAGTTCTGTGATTCCAAATCATAAGTAAAGCCCATAACAGTTACATTTGAACTATTTCTTGGAACCCCACTCCTCCTTGAGTCTCTTCCTGATATTTTTTGTAGACACCAAGGCTGAGTATAACATATTCACTTTTTCTCCACAACCCCCCACTCACATAATCGTTAATCTACAGTCACTGCAAACATTTGGTGAAATAAAATGTTTGTGAAAGGAACTAGCTACAGTTGTTTTTAAAAGTAAACATTTTCTGTTTCTTTAAGAGAAAAAAATCCAAGGCCATGAAAAAGAAAAATAGTTTGACTCAGGATGTAGATTGGAGAACAAGCATTACTTCTTTAAGGAGGCTCAGGGGATTTTCAATATTTAGGATGGTGGTATTTGTCTTTTTAATTCCCAAATGGGACTTTTTTTTTAACTCTTAGGATAGGATTAATTATCTTGGAAGACTCTAATCTCTACCCTCATGTTTGAAACTGCAAGCAGGGAGATGTTTTAAACATTATGAAAAGAAGAGAAAATCTCTACTGACAAATAAATGCCTTGAAAAATTGAAATTAGTACTAGCCAAGTGCTCTTTCTTTCCAGAAATATTAAAACTGAAAATTAGAATTGAAGGATCCTTCTACTGTACTCCTTTCTAATGCCACAAAACAAGGACTTCAGGAACAATTTCAGAGACAAAAGATTATATGAAATATCTAACTCTTCCCCTTATGGGAAGTGTCTTTTTTTTAAAAAAAAATCCTAGCCTCAATCATTTCTTAATGTGAAATTACAGATTTTTCAAATTACCATATAAAACTGCAAAAAAATTACACTTGTGACCACAGAAGAGATAGCATACACTATCAATTTGATTTTAAAAGGCATACATCTTTTATACTACCTGTCATTTTTATAATGCCTTTTACAAATTTAATCAATACATTTTAACATTCTATATACTTTAAGTGCAATATACAATAAATATTCAAGTTTCATCTTAAACATGCTTTAGCCTTTAAATTGTTAAAACTGCAGTGCCCTTTCAATCTACTTACATAATATCATAAAATATACATTTCAAGGTAAATGAAGTCAGCTACTTCAATTTAGTCCCTGAAACTGGTAGTAAATGAGAGGTTAACACTATGGTGCCAAACCCATTATTGAGTAAATTTAGCACCTTGGACAGCTCTGTAAAATCTTTATTGCTTTCCTGACCTGCTCGTCATGTTCTGTCTGTGTGTTCAGTGGCTCTCAGCTCTGATTGAAAGGCAATATATTAGATCCCCAACACAAACACGCTTGGGGGCCAGTTCACTGGGAACGTAATGACAAGGAGGTGAGAGCAATTTTCTGGTCACCGAAATCCAAGCACCTTGCAGGTCTGTTGCACTAACTCATAGAGGACCCAGAAATGTCCTTTCTCCTTCCCATTTGCACAGATAACTGATAGCCGCTGAATCACACTGGCATTGCTAAAGCAAATGTAGGTCTCTCTTAAACCTCAAAGTTGATACTGCAAGGAAGTGCATTTTTAAAAAGAAAAAAAAGGGTGAGATATCATTTAAGGATGTAGCTTCCAGGACGAGAAATCCAGGCTGACTCTCTGCAGATTCAAGACGCTGGTCTTAAGGGTTACTGGGCTGATACCACACCTATGGCCCTGGGCCAAATGGAAACCCATGACTTGCCATCATGTATCAAGAAGGTAGCATCGTGGATCAAAGAAAGATTCAACTTTAGGAACTAAGGTGCACGTGCTTCACACTCAAAGGATTGAATGACGATGAACGAGCCTTTGGTACTAAAATACCAAGTAGATTTTGTCACTGACAAACTTTATCACCAAAAATATAGAATATTAAAATGAATACACAAAAGATGAGATTTTCCAGGTTTACAAAACCTTTAACGATCCTGGCATTCATTTTGAATTTCCCTCTTCCCTGATTCTGGGAAATGATTAGAAGGTAGACTGCTTAGTCCCCATTTATAGTTTTGCAAGAATGAAGTTCACAGTCTTTCTGTACCCTTCATCATGCTTTCAATAAACAGACTTACATTTTTTTCCTAAGAATGAAAGAAAAATACCTTCCGTGCCAAGCCCAAGTCCAAATACTGACATCAATATTTACTTGAAGATATAAATGAACATAGACCCAGAGACGTCAAATCTTAATAAATAAACTAACTTGATCCTGTTTTGTTTTAATCTTTCTCTGAGCCAGATAAAGCCATGAGGTTTTAGTGAAAAAGGCACATGCTGAATTTGATCCAGGGATAGGTTTTAGTGGGCCTGACTGTCGTAAATTATTAACTGCTGCGGTCAGACAATATGGCAAACAAAAAAGTGTAAATCTTCTTGTAGCTTGCATTAAAAAGTAAAGAACAGATTTCAAATCTATTGGTTCAGACCCCATTGATTATATGATATTTTTCGCTCAGTAGCTGAAAGAAAAGGACTGAATTGATTTATAAAGGGGTCTATACCTTGAAGCAAGCACAACTGTTTATTGAGCATTGAAAACTCTTCCCTCTCATTTTTGAATTTAGGACATTATATATGTCATAAGTTGTTACTCCAGTGTGACAACTGTTTTATCTTATATTGGAGAGAATTTAAAATTGAAAAATGCTAATATGTGTCTAAAAGCTTGTCATTTCAAGAGTTGTTCGAGGAGTTTTGCAGAGGCTATGGTGACAGCAAAATGAATGTAATTATATCCCTATTTTCTGATCAGCGCCTGCAGTCTATGACAATTGAACAGCACAGCTTCTCTGTATAGAACTCTACTGGGTAAAAATGTTTCAAGTTAAACTTCTGTTTGAAACTTTATTAAAGGTGAGAAATAGTAAACAAACCTTCTTCCAAATCGCCTCTGATCGTCATATCACACCCTTAAGGGCTGATTCTTTTCTGGGCACCCTTTGCCCTTCCTTTCTATTCTGGAAGAAGAGCTGAATCTGCAATTGGGCAACATGAAGAGACAAAGATTTCTTTTGCTAGAATGGAAAAAAAATTAGCCCTATTGGTAATTGCTCTTTTGTACAGTACTTCAATTTATCTGAACCATGCAAACCAAATGCAGAAGCCCATCCAAAGGAGAGATTTTTTTTTCTTCAACTGGAATGACAATCTAGGATGAGAACGAATGAGCAAATGGGGAGAATGGCAAACAATACTGAAATGGCAAAGAAGCGCTATAAAAGAAACGGATGCTGCCAGTCATGAAAACTGGTACAGAGGGGGCTTCTGGGACAGGAGATTCCTTTTGTAAGAGCCTTTGACAAATGGCTCATTGCTTTAGCGTGGAGTTCACTGTATCACCATTGTATATCACAGCTCTGCCATACAAGAGGGATAAACAAAAGAAGTTTAATGCTACATGCTTCTAGTAACTGAAGATTGATTGGCAATCCCTCCAAAATGACCTGTCTGATAAGGTCATGGTTCCTGGGATAAGCAATTAAGTACAAAATAAACACATCCTAGGGATTCATAACATGTGCTGATGACTTTGATTGTAGTAATCTAGTAAATGACCTCAGAATTGTATTCAGCAATAAACATATGAGTGCTTTATCGTGCCTATGGAAGACTATTGAGTGATGATGAATTTTATCTTGCAGTACCAATGATGCTCACCTTTTGACTCGATTAAGTGTGTATGTGAACAAGGATAGATTGGTGATTTAACGCCATGCCAACGATCCCCAAGCTACTGCTTTCCAGCTGTGCCTTGGCAGAGTATGGCCAGAAGGACAGGACTGAGAGCATGTGAAAAGACAGTGACACAGGATTCTATCCACTTTTCTCTTGATAGGAAGTGATCCTCAAAAGAGCTGCTGATCTGGTTGAAGCACTGTACGGGATGCCACACAACAACCAGGTAGGTGTGCTGCATCTCTGTCTAACCCGTGTGCCTTTCCTCACTCCATGCAAGATCCCAGAATGAGAAAGCACCAGAAATACAAAAGCCACATGTGTGAGAGTGACAATTCACATGTGACACATTGCAGGGGAAGTCAATCCTTCCCTCTTTTGTAAATCTTTTATTGCCTTTTCTATTGAATCATTTTCCATTACCAGAAAAAGTACTCCATTTAATGCTAATCTCCACTGGGATTGTCCTTCATAAATGAAGGAGGAGTTACTGGTGTTTTATTTCTCTCTGGTTTTCAAGCAAATTTAGGAGGAGAAAGGGTTTAATTTCTTCTCCTAAAATGTATAATGAAGCCTACATAGTACTTTCTGATTCTGTTTTATGAAGCAGATCCATGTACAGAACTCAGATTGCTTAGGAAACTGAGTCTGACAAGTCCTTCACCCCTTTTTCATGAATCTCCTGAGTCAATGTTCAGAGCCTACGAATACTCAGGCTCCAGCTTGTCATCTGCAGCCTGTACTTTCTATTAACAGGGGACATGAATTGCAGCATCACCCTGTCCCCCAACCACCACCAGCTCTGTCTCTCTCCTATGACATCACCTAGAGTTCCTGTGTATTATTGTTGGAGAAGGGAGTAACCATATGATGCCTGTATTGTCTAGAATGGACTTTCAAACTCAAACAAATGGTATAAGAATCTCAACTCTGCCCTTAAATATAGAGCAAATACTGTGTACACATCTATGAAAATGGAAAAACGAGACCTGTTGAAGCTATTCTAGGAATGGAGGGGGGTAAAGGAGAATGATGGAGGTGGTAAATTACCTACAGTTGATATATTCTAAGAAATTTTGCAAATGCCACAATGTACCCCCAGCACAACAATAAAATAAATAAAGAAAACAGTTTAGAAGTTCTTCAAAAAATTAAATATAGAACAACCAAATGAACCAGCAGCCCCAGTTGTGTGTACATGTCTGAAGTAAATAAATTGAGTATTATTGAAAAGATTTCTGTATTTCCATATTAAATTGCAACATTATTCTCAATAGCCAAGACATGAAAACAACTGAAATGTCAGTCAATGGATGAGTTGATAAAGAAAATGTGTCATATATTAATATAAGATGCAGTATCATTTAGTCTTACCAAAAAGAAGGAAATCTCACTATAAAAACATCAAGTTTAGGAATTTTGATTAATTTTTTAATTTATTTAGAAAACAAACAAAAAATTTAAATCCAAAAAAAAAAAAACAAGCAGCTTCCTTCAGTGAGATCTTTGCCTTTCTGAGCCTCAGTCTCCTCAACTGCGCTACGCACATGACAAAGATGATAAAAGTGACCTCACAGGTTCATTAAAGAGGACACAGAAACTAATACAGGGAGCCGTTGAAAGTCCTCATCCCAGTTCCTGGCCTATAGGAAGCGCTTAAAAACTGGTATTATTGGGAGTGTGGGTGGGGGGGCCGGAGCTAAATGGAAGGTTCCCTTCACTCTTTCAGGAAATTATTCTGAAGAGAGCAGCCGACATTGCAGAGGCTCTGTACAGTGTCCCTCGCAACCACAACCAACTCCCCGCCCTCGCTAACACCTCCGTCCATGCAGGGATGATGGGCGTGAATTCCTTCAGCGGACAGCTGGCCGTGAATGTCTCGGAGGCATCCCAAGCCACCAATCAGGGTCAGAAGCCTGCTCTTTCTGTCCTTCCCATTTTCCCTGTCCCTTGCCAAGCTCAAGCTCCCACCTCCACCATTTATTTGGCATCAAACAATTTTTATTTTAAAATCTTATTTTCTTCCCCCCCAGGGGAGGATTCCTAGTTTGTGCATATCAAATATTATTGCAGGATTTTGTTTCTTGCTCTTGTGCCTGGAAATTTGGTGGGGGGCTAGAAAGAAAGCATGGATTCAGCCCCCTCTCAATCTTTTTATCATAAACCAAAACTGACAGATCACAAAGAGGGTTGGAATTAAAGTTTTGAACAGCCAGCACACATCACTCTTGCCCAGGGACTAGGGACCTCTGAAATCCAGGGACCATCTCTTAGATTGGGATTTATTTCTGCTCCAAAATGATAATTTATAGGCCCTGCATTGCTACTTCTCACAGCCCTGCTAAGTATTTATGATCTCCAAAGAAATGTATCTTTTGCTGGCGTCCCATTTTAATCACAGAGCTACACCACCACCCCATGCACGTGAATCACCAGGTTCCCTCCCTTTGGATTGCAGCAAGGGGACAAGAAGTAGAGCCCTTCCTGTCTGCTCCCAGAACTGCTACCATCTGACTGAACACCACCCTCATCCCTGATTTGCAGGTTTCACCCGCAACTCAAGCAGTGTGTCACCACATGGGTATGTGCCGAGCACCACCCCCCAGCAGACCAACTATAACTCTGTCACCACAAGCATGAATGGATACGGCTCTGCTGCCATGTCCAATTTGGGCGGTTCCCCAACTTTCCTGAACGGCTCAGCTGCCAACTCACCCTACGCCAGTAAGTAGACCCATGTCCTGTGATTTACGTGTCTTCCCTAGGATTGCTCCTTGCTGCTGTGGGCCCCATCAGGCAGAGCTGCTCAGTCTGAGAACCCCTGTCCTACCAGGCACTGCCCTCCAATGCTGCTAAAAGCCCATCATCACCAGCAGAAATCTGTGCTCTCTGTTCACCTTCAGTGTCTCTCCAATAGTCAGAACCTGGCTGCCACCAAAAGCAGCCACAAGTTGTCATTCTGAGCACCTCTGCTTGGGGCCAAATGGTGATGGGGTTGTCAACTGCTTCTACCAGTTACTAACTGGAGGCCCTGCACAAGTTCATCTGTTCTCCAAGCCTCAGTTTTTCTTCTTTGTAACATGGAAGAGGAACTAGCACTCATGCCATCCAGTCACATGGATGAGACCATGGTCACATAGGCAACACATCAGAAATGTGAGTCTCAATCACATAATAGAAAGGTAGCATGTGGTGGCATTGTACAGCAACAATAATCTATAATTTATAATCTCCCTTAAGGAATAGGACTCTTTATTTTTTAAATTTTTCCCTTCATGTTTAGTGTGTTCTTAAAAAAAAAAAAACACTCAACATATCAAAAATACACTATTTTTTCCAAACATCTGGCACTATTACACACTGCATATATTCTTTGGTGCCTTGTCCCTGTCTTAAAGAAGTTTAGCTTAAATTGTTTGTTTGGGTACAACATTAAGATTGTGTCTGAAGAATCTCAGCAAATTGACCATTATCTATAAATATATACATCTAAAGAGGCCTCTCTGTCTTTCTCTCTCTAAAATGATTCGCCTGTGTTCCCACAGTTCCTTGATTGTCCTCTGAGAATATTTTTTCAATGGTCAAGCTCGTCTGGCACATTGTCAGGCCTCTTCTGGTATGTGAGATGTGGCCAAGCTCATAGATGTTCATGGAAGGATAGCGATGTGTTGTTACACAAGAAGAAAATTCATGATTTTTTAAAAAAAGCCCTAGCTGAAAGTAAATAATGGTGCTGACTCCCATGCTAGACGTGTGGAGGTGCTAATCCTTTGAAGGCAGAAAGGTCACCCTTGATCTTTAGAAGAGTTACTTTGGAAAGTATAGAGGTTTTTCCCTTTCTGGGTAGATTTTTCTGCTTAGGAAATTCTACATTTCTACCTTATTTGTTTGGAATCAGCAGTTTGTTGAACATTTACGATTCCCCCAAATAATATGTATGAATTATGTCTGTCTGCTCAAGACTCCACATTTTGGGGTCAGTTTCACATTTAACTTTGATTTATTGAAAGATTGTTTCTCATAGATCTCTCACTTCAGCATTCCCCCATCTATTCAATCAGAAAATGTTTCAATCATGACCTGAAAATTAAAAGGTAGTATTCTTAATTAAATCAATAAACTAATTGCTATATGGTAGCAATTCAATTTAGGGTCCTGGACTGTTCATCTTCCCAAGTCTGTGCATAACACCCAGCGACTTCAGCCCGAGATTGCATCTGTCAGCCTGTAAACTTCGAACACTTAATTTCCATTAATTGATTTCCTCAGTGCTCACAAATACAGTATTAAAATCTCAAATAGGCCCTCAGATGGGGCCTATGGTTTTATCTGCATAAACGCAAATGAGACAATAAACACAAAGCCCAACTGATTTGAATTTTTGCCTCTGTAATATTTAATTATTGATAAACTACTCATGTTGAAAAATTCCAACAGAATAAAAAATAAAATAAGACATTTTACTGGTGAACACACTTTCTGGTGTGGGGCTGATAAGTAATATGTTATAACAAATGGAATAGCTTGACTATATTTCACCTCTTTCTCTGTTAAGCACCCCCCAACTCCCCACCTCTAAATACACGTAATGATTGCATTTGCCAACGAGATTAATTGCCTTCCTCCGTGAACCAGCAGGATTTCAAGTCTACGAATATTTAAAAATCAAGCCTCCAGTGCAGGGTTTTGCAATTTAAATGGGTGTTATTATTGAGCGTATTTTCACATTTACAAATCCTAAGAGATGTATAAAAATGCTGGCCTCATTAAAAGAAAAAAGTACAGTTTAGAAAATGTTCGTGAAAACTCTGAGGATGTAGCTCTGTGTTCTGCTCCATGGAGTATTCTTTGCCTTTGGATATTTGGTGGGTCTTAGGCTGATGACAAAGGGTCATTTCCTCCTGATGGCCATCACTGCCTGTGACTGATTTCAGTCCCACTTGTCCAATGATCCAAAGCCAGGAGGCCAAGGATTAGGGCCACCCAAACAGCTCGTTAGATGCTTGCGGGCTCAATGGCAGAAGACTTTGTCCTCTGGAGATCTGTTTCCTTCACAGGGTAGGGTAGTAGAAAGAGCGCAGGATTTGGTTTTGATTCTTGGCTTCAGCACAGCCTTGCTGTGGCCGTTGGGCAATTGGCTAAGCTACTCTCTGAGTTTCAGTTGGGTTAGGTATATAAAAGATGTCATAGGCCTCTAACTTTAGGTGGCTGTGCCAACAACAAGATAAAAAAGATGTGAAGATTTTTGTGCATGATAAAGCAAGATGTGAAGTTTATTAATAATATGAAACATAATGAAGTGAAAGGAAGGGCCCAGGATCATTGGACGGGATTCCTAATTTTTTTCAGGAAATGGAGGAAATAGAAAGTGAGTGTAGAAAACATGAGCCTTGGCAATGCATGCAAAATCTGTCTCCCGAGGTGAGCAAGAGATGAGCAAAAGGTGAAATGCCAGGCAGAGAGGATCGTGAATGCTAAAGCATACAGCTCTTCCAAACTCTTTCCTATACCACACAACTAGGACTTTTTTCCCTTCTCTGAATCACCAAAGTCCTCCCATCATTGGTTATCTGCATTCCCCAGCCCTACCAGACTGTGAGTGTTTACATAGGCTCCTAGCCTGCTGCTTAATTGACACACATTTATGTAATGCTCCATGGGGGTGGCATAAAGACTTTGGAACTTGGACTTATAGTTCAGCATTTTCCACAAACGTTGTATGCGGCAGGCCGCTTATCTACCTGGCTTCCAGTCTGCCAATCTTTAAACTGTGGAGCAGTAAGGCCGACCTCAGAGCCTCTTGGAGAGAAATGGGTCCCCTCCATACCTCCATGTACCAGTGCCATAAGTCAGAATCCTGACCTTGCCTTCCACTCACCCTTCTTCTTCACACCTCTCATTCTGTCGTTGGTGACCACCCTCTCACAAGCTGGCTGCCTCCTGTCCCTTCATCTCCAGCCCCTGTGCTAAAACCTTAGTTTAGGCTGTACTTGGAAAGCTTCCTCTGAGTCCTCTTCTATGAAGTCCTCTCTGGTTTCCCCTCTTTCTGCTCCAAGGTGGCCACACTCACCTTTGTCATTTTTTTTGTGTTGCTTTGTCCCGGATAAGAAACTATTGCATTTTTGTTTTCTGGCTTGGAAAACTCAAAGGATGGCAGCTTTGTTTGGATTGCTGTTTGGATTGGATGCTGCCTTAAGCTGAGTAGGGTGGATGATTTTTCTGGATGGAAATTGCTACCTGTGATTCCACTGCCTAGCAACAGCAGGACACATGGTGGGCCTGCAGTAAATGAAGATCACTGACAATGAATGTTAGAACATGCCAAGTATCAAATGATGTAGGTGGACAGGGTCCTAAGAGTTGTAGTGAGGTTCATGCCCAAGCAGGGTGGCTGGGTAAGGGAGGAATCCGAGTTTCCCCCTCTCAGGATGCTACAAGAGGGGCTGATTTTCCTTTCCCATTGTCCCTCCCAGTCGTGCCATCCAGCCCCACCATGGCCTCCTCCACAAGCCTCCCCTCCAACTGCAGCAGCTCTTCGGGCATCTTCTCCTTCTCACCAGCCAACATGGTCTCAGCCGTGAAACAGAAGAGTGCTTTTGCACCGGTCGTTAGACCCCAGACCTCCCCGCCTCCCACCTGCACCAGCACCAATGGGAACAGCCTGCAAGGTAAGCCCTGGGTCCACAGCCATGAGAACTCATGCAGCTTTGCCCTTACAGGCCTGATGCAGGTGCATCACTATGGCTGAGGGATCAGACTTGGGCCTACTCACCACTTCTCTCACTTCCCTGTTTCCCCTGTTCCTTCATATTCTCTCCCCTTGGTCCTGGCCACAGCCCTACTCATGCCCCCTCTGCTGAAGTTGCCAAAAAAAAAAAAAAAAAAATCCTCTTTCTAACTCCAGCAATTCTGCTCCGGCCCAGGATTTGCTTGAGAATACTGTTTCTGCCTATTGATGCTGTTATTTCTCTTTTCTCCTCTTACTCCTTATTGTCGCCATTATCAGATCAGTCTTTTATGGACTCTAGCAAGTTATCCACTGCAGGGTCTCTCCTGGGACTGGCCTCATGAAGTAGATCACTCAACCTTCCCTTCCTGTTGCCTATGTCAGAGTGTGGGAGGATGGTGTGTGGGTGACAGCCCTGTCAGAACCCAAGGTTAAGGCATTGTACACTAAAGGCCAAACACTACTTTTTAGAACCAGAAACCCTAAAATGCTGCTGGAGCATTTTATATGATTCATATTAAAATTCTTCAACCTCTTTCCCAACATAGAATATGAAAATTAACAGATTCATCAAGCTTTGAGGAAAAAAAAAATAAAACTCCACCCTTTAAAAATGAGTTCACTGTTGTTTTCAGTCTTCTTCCATGTTTGGCACCATGTGTAGCATTGGCTCACACTACCACATGCACCCCAAAGTCAGATCATGTGGGAAATACTCACAGCCCCTACCTTATAGATGAGAAAACTAAAGGCTGGAGAAGTTATAAAATTGCTCAACTCCCAAAAACTGGTGTGTGGCAGAAGCTGGCTTCAAAATCAGACTAAAAAATTCATCTCCTCTTTCCTTCTTCCAAGTACTTTATTACTCACAGGGGGTAAAAGAGACATAGCCCAGATTCCTAAGGCAGCTTGCAAGGGAACAGTCCTTGCAATAATCAGCTACCATTTATTGAGCACTGAACAGTGTGTCGGGTGCTGTGTTAAGCATGGAGCAGGCTTTATCTATTTAATCCTCACAACTTCTTGATGAAGTATGAAGACCACAGACATGATGAAACTCAAGCTTAGGGAGGGTAAATAACTGCCAGGGATGGAGCCAGCCAACAGTGGAGATGAAGGTCAACCCCAGTGGTGGGGCTGTGCCTTTAAACTCTGCCCTGTATAGCTCCCCACAGTGCCTCTCTTCAGTGGCCAGCCTGTCATTCACAGAGGTCAGCCATGAAGGCCAGGGAGGAGTCATGAGAGCAGCCACACATCTGGGATTTCCCAGCTCTATTTCTTATGGGCAAGTGTGTGCATAATTCTGTTTACACACTCTGTGCTGGATGCTTTACATAGATGTAAGTCTACATCTATTCCCCCCAGGACCCTGTAAGGGCAGTACTTCTCTCGTTGTTGAGAAGGGGAAATCGAGGCTCAGTTTGCTCAAGGGTACACAGCAAATGGTGGAGCCAAAATTGAACCTAAACTATGTGAGTACAGAGCCTGAGCACCTAGTCACTGTACCTCTCTGCTAACCTGCTGGTAAATGTGCCTATCATAGCCAAGACTGTGCTCATCATAGCACACCAGTGCCCTGACTCTAATACACACTGGCCAGCCCATCCTAGAGGAAAGAAGAACACCACCACCTGGGGAGCTATGTCTCGGTGGTGTTGTCATATTGGGAATTATTCTGCCCCACAAACAGAGCCACCTATTCGTGCCACTCTGATTCCTCTCCATCTTTACATAAAGCCTGTCAACCCACTACACCTCCTGCTGGCACACGAGGGACAGAATGCTTAAGCAACCACAACTCATGATAGGTTTAAGTAATGATAATCCAATGGAGAGCAGGAATGTGCCATTTTGAGCTGCCAGTTTCAACCCTGGTTAAACACAGATATGGCGTCAGGAACAAGGTAAAATGGGGTTTAGGATTAACAGCCAAGGGTTTGTACTCAAGAAGAGAATCAGGTTTGGAGAAGTGTCACTCGTCACAGTGGTTTCAATGGGAAGCCCTTCAGCGAGGCCTGATGTCTTTGTTCAGGCCATGTAGGCCAAGCAAGGAGCAGGAAGGGACTGAAAATAGGGACTGGACCCAGAATGTAAGACCTCCTGGATTTTGGGAAGATCCAGTATTGTAAGGGTGTGTGTGTTTTGTAGTGATGAAGTGGTTTTAAGAAAAGGACACACCCAAGACTGCTGCTTTTGATCCTCAGGTCTTTTCCAAGCCAATTCCAGCCCAGTTAATGGATTCCAAAAGTATAGAAGTTGTCCCTTCTCTTCGGGTTAGCAGGCCAGTTTCCACTCCTTTGTCACAACTTCTAACACAGGTGCAGGACTAGGAGGGCTTGGGTCTGACCAAGAGATCCCTTTGCACTGAATTTGCTGCTGTGGGTGACCCTGTCCTTCCCTTCCAAATGGGCATGAGCTGAGAAGTTCTTTCTGGACTGTCCTCTCCCCAACACTTCGATGATCAAGAATGATCCAAAGGGAAAGAAGGAATTTTTGTTTGTCTGATACCATCACGGACCAAACATCCCAAGTGAGGGAAAATGGCAGTGTTGGCAGGATAAGTAAAAAAGTCAAAGTCAACTAAGACATCTTCAATCAAACTATTCCTTAAAATCCACTTACCTGCCCCCAGCTCTGCACTCGGGGCCACACTAAGACTTGCATCCTCACCTTCCATATTTAATCTCCAGCAGGGTAAGGGAGACCCAGCCTTAGGTAAGCAACCCCATTTTTGCAAGGGGCTCTTGCATGGCCTTGGAGTCTCCCCTGCAAAATATGACATTCTGACAGCTTCTAGAATTATGCCATCTCTAGCATCACTTCACTTCTACGACTAAAAATGGACCCATGTAAGGTTGTGGAATTAGGTAAGACTCTTTGATGTGTCTTTTTCCTCCTCCTCCTCTTCATTGCTACAGTAGCACCTACTTACTGTGAGCCACTGAGTTCAAAACTGTGATCATTAAGACAGGGCAAGTGACAAGGGATGAGTTGGTTAAGCAAATTGACCATGTAAACAAGATTAGAAGGGCACATTTAGACTGTTTAAGTATTTTAAAAGCCTATTTACCTCCAAGTACCACTCTGTTAATTGTACATCATACTGTTTTTTTATAACGTGTACTCCTTTGCCTGTAGCCCTTTTTAGCCTCCTCCACTACGGAGTGCTTGGCCATCCCCAGCAAACAGGTCCTGCAGCCATGCATGGTGGTAGCAACATGGGAGGGCTTGTTCCCAGCCTGGTTTCTGCACTGTTCCATGTCTTCCTCCTAACTGATGTGGCTGTTTATTGTCCCCTTTATAGATTTGGAAGTTGAGTCAGTGAACTGAGATGGCTTGTCCAGAGTTACTCAACTAGCACACAGGGAATCCTAGAGTTCAAACCTGACTCATCTTCTCTACTCTCTTCAGCTCCTATGCGTCTTGCCAAATTGTATTTAAGCCTCAGGGTTAGGTCCACGTGGACTACAAAATCCCAACCTTGAAAGCTTTTCCTGTATTCAGGGGAAGACACACCACCAGTCAATAAGGTAGATGTGTCTGGGAGAGGCTGGGTACCAACCCTAGATTACAGAAAAAGGAAGAATAAGGAAGTCAGAAAGCTTCATGCAGAACACTATCTCAGATGAAGAGCAAGTAGGATACCTGCTTAAGGAGATGGGGGAAAGGTGCATTTTGTGTGTGTGTTTGTGGTGCTGGGGATTGATCCCAGGGCCTCCCACATACTAAGCAAGTGTTCTACCACTGAGCTATATCTGCAACCTGGAAAGGGTCATTTGCTTAGGACAACTTGAGCCAAGGACCAGAGGCAGGAAAGTCCTAGATGATGTGTGGTACCTAGTAAGTAGCTCAGCAACTTGGAGCACAGTTGCCAAGAAGCAAGGAGTTGCAAGAAGCAAGTCTGAAAAACCAGGTCTTTAATCTGAAGTTCAAAGCTCCATCCTGTTTTGTGTATTTTGTAATTCACAAGTTCTACTGTGTTTCCCACTGACTTTGACTCTCAGGTAGATAAATCTTTGAAAATGTGCCACTGGTCTGAGAAATTTTTTTAGGACAAAGCAACTCTTGTCTCAGCATTTCTGGAACCTCACAAGATGTTCTGTTAAAGAAGTAAAACGGCTGTGGTCAAATTTAGACAATGGTGCTTACTGAGTCACCATCTTGGAGAGCCACAATGCACGTGATAAGTTTAATAGAGGTGTTGAGATATCTTGCAGTGAAATGAAAATGACTATCATCCCCTAGTATCCACAGGGAATTAGTTCCAGGACCCTGCAGTACCAAAGCCCACAGATCCTCAAGTTCCTTGTAGAAAATGGTGTAGAATTTGCATATCACCTTCACATATCTTCTTATATACTTTCAATTATCTGTAGGTTACTTACAATACCAAATATAATGTAAGTGCTTTGTAAATAGGTGTCATACTGCATTGCTTGAGGAATAATGGACAAGAAAAAAGTCTTTATGTGTTTGGCACAGAAACATTTTTAGTTTAAAAAAATTATTTTTAGTTGATCCATAAACATTATACATATTTATGAGGTATAGTGTGACATTTCAATGTGTAATGATCAGACAAGGGTATTTGGGATATCTGTCACCTCAGATAATTACCATTTCTTTGTTAGAACATTCAGTACTCTCTCTACTAACTACTTTGAAGTTTTCAGTTGAGTATCTGCTACTGAGCCATAGAACTTTAGAAGTTTACTCCTCTCCAACAGCACCCAGTGCCTATTAACCATGCTTCTGCCTCTCCCACACTCTTCCCAGCTCCGGTAGGCATCATTGTATTCTCTTCTATGTGATCACTTCTTTTTGCTTCTATGTAGAAGTGAGGGCATGTGGCACTTTCTTCACATGTTTGAGTTCACATAATGTCCTCCGGATATTTTTCATCAGTGGTTGGTTGAATCCGCGGATACTGAATCCATGGATATAGGACGCTAATTGTGTTCTGTTTAAAGTTTGCTGAACTCACTTGTCTACAGAGTTCTTTTTCCACATGCTAAGGACAATTAACAGCATGTGAGAAGCTTTGGAAAATACAGCTGTATGTGCAGTTGAAGATAAAGAAGCAGCAAAGGCTCGTTCCATTCTTATCTAGAAAAAGCCATCTATAAGTCCTGATCCCATACTCCCCAAGTAGGTCAAAAACTTGAGTCACCAACTTTGCTCAGCCTTTACCTATGGAAACATTCTCTCTCTTCTCCTACAACTTATGTCCCTTAGAACATGGGTTCCATGCAAGTCAGTCTTTAGAGGACTTTGTTAATCATAAAAAAGGAAGCCCTAAGAAAGTTGTCACATGTCACTGGAACCTCCTTCTACTGTTATGATTTTTATCCTGTCCTGGATCACTTGTGTAATGAAAAAATTAAAAACAAAGAGGCCAAGGTGATTTAGCAGAAATCGTACCAGTCTACTGATCTTTTTTTTTTTCTTTGCTACCTTGTTGAAGCTCGTGCTGGCTGACTTGCTCCTCTTGATTCTAGATACTATGAAATTTAGTACCAAATTGTTGGAATTGTCTTCTGCTCCATGGACGTGCTCAGTTTGTACAAAATCTCCCCTCATCTCCAGTAACCTCATAATCCTTGCATATGTGGTGGTTTGGGGAAGACCATATTCCACCTTCTCTTGCCACTTCTCCCTCCACTTCTCCCCATCTCTGCCACTTCCCATTTTTGTCTTTGTTCTTACCGAAATGTGAAAATGATATTGAAAACTTCATTGCCTTTCGAACCAATGGTTTGGGGCTTCCATCAGGGAACATGGTCACCCAGCTGCTGGGGGCAATGGCAGAGCCACTGTGGTCTTATGATGTCTTTGGCACTCAGTGCTAGGCATATAGTGTCCTCCTGGGATCTTTCCTGGACCCCACTTGGGCAAGTCAGCATGCCAGCAGCATTTCTGGAACATTCCAAGCTTCAGACACCCATCCCTCTCACCCACATAATTAATTTTCAGATTGCAGCATAGATTCAAGAAAAACAACTTGAACAGCATGTAGTCATGCTGTGGGTTTTCTTTAGAAGAAGCCCTCTCTTAGGTACCCAAGCTCAAAGGCTACATGAACTTGTCCTAGAATTTACTAATCAGGAAGGTTTCTGCCTTTGGAGTTTAAGAAGTCATGAATGAGATTTAGGTGATCCTCCGATGATATATAAAAATTCTGGGTGGAGGTACATGTGGGTCTTGGGCAAAAGGTCACACAGCTTCCATTAGACTCTCAGACAGGTCTGTGGGCAGACCTAGGAAAGATGAGAGAGCATGGGCCAAGCCCACCCTCTAAGGCTCCTCAGCTGTGTTTGTTTTCAATATCAATTATTTGCCATGTATGAACTGGGCTATTTCATGATTTTTAAAAATCTACATCTCTAGCTTCTCTTCAAAGAATTCATAGCCCTGGTGGCTGTGATTAGGCTTTCCTGCAGAGCATTGGGGACAGCTGAGAGGCTGCCTCTCTGAGGAAGGAGTGCCCTTAGTCCCATCACCACCCAAGGGACTCTGCTCACTCACGTGTCAGCCCAGCCAGGTGCCAGTAATGGATCACAGCTCATGCCTGTAATTGTAGCTGCTCAGGAGGCAGAGATCAGGAGAATCATGGTTCGAAGCCAGCCCTGGCAAATAAGTTTGTAAGACCCTATATCTCGAAAATACCTGACAAAAAGACTGGTGGAGTGGCTCAAGGTATAGGCCCTAAGTTCAAGCCCCAGTACTACAAAAAAAACAGCATCCAGTCTGAGCTCCTAGGGGTCTGGAGATTGTAACCCCTGTGGAAGATTAAGGAGTGCTGTTAGCTGCAGACTGGCATACCAGTGAGCCCTGCAGTGGACTAAGTGGCTCTAAGTGCTCTACTGTAATTAACCTAACAAATTATTTAGGTACCAAAACACTGCTTAGATTTTTAAGAAAATTCTGGCCATCCAAATGGGATGTGTTCAGGACCCATCTGATGAGTGTTGGCTGACCCATGGACCAAAGGAGCAAGAAGTAGCAGCGGTTCCCTTCTTTGCATTGAATCATAATGGTACTATTTCACAAGCTGTCCTAGCCACAGGAGGAAAACAGATGATTTTTGTAGAAGGTGAAGGAAACTAGCTTCTTTGGCCACAAACTTTGTCCTCTTGTCTGAAAGAAGGGTGCTAGATCCATTTAGAACCTGGATGAAAAGACCTCAGGATGGCAAAGCCACCCTGAGCTGTCACACAGCTGGACCCCAACCCCGCCGTGCACCTTTGGTGCTGAAGCCTCTTGGATTCTCGAGTATACTCTGGGATTTAAACCCTGAGCTCTGGGTTCGGTCAAATCTAGGGCTCACTAGGATCTTAGGGGAACTGCATTTCCAACAGATCCCAAATCTTGGGGGGTTTAAGTTAGCATGCATTTGGCAAAAGACAACTTCCTGTTTCTAAGAAAAAAAGGCTTAGGAGGGCTTAGGAAAGGACTCCAGGAGCTTTTGGACTGCAAAGCAGCTCTTGCAAAACAACATTTGGATGATTTACGTGTAAATGAATCAGAAACATGTGGATTGAATTTCCTTGTGAATACAGATGGGTTTAAAAATTAACGGAAACAGTGTTTGGCAAAATACTTTTTGGGTTTTCTTTTAATTGAATCTAAAATGTCAGGGGTGGGGGTGGGGAAGCAGGAGGTATGTGTAAGACTCTGAGCCCTACTTGGCCTCCCTGAGTCTACTGCAAGATTTGTTGTAGTGGGGTTCCCTTTTTTTTTTAAGGAACATTCCACCAGACATGATGGTTAATAAATGAAGAGGTCTACTTTCTAGACACAGTCACCACTGACAAGAACATTAATTTAAATTTAGACTTGCCAATGAAAAGAAAGAGACTGTCTCTTTGTGCCATCATTGGGAGGCAACTGGCTATGTCTGGTTTCTAACATAGGCATCACTCTTATCTTGACTTATTTTGAAGTTGCCATACTGTCTTAATTTTCTTGTGGCGATCCCCTTATTCCTCACATGCACCCTGTGAAGTGTGCCATGTGGGATGGTACCTGTTTGGTATAAGAGGAAAATACATCCCAAAGAAGTTTAACTGACACAAGGTCAGCCAGCTAGTTGAGCAGCAAGTGTTAAGTTAAAACACATAGTAGCTGACCTGTCTTAAGTCTTTCCTAAGAGTGGAACCCATACTTGACAGATTAATTTTATTTGAATCTCTGATACCAAGTGCTATGATTAGTGGTAGGTTCTAGCTAAGGAGGCTGAAGTTCAAGGAGACAAAATAAGTATGTGAGGAGAAAGGTCTTAGAAGCAGGAAAGCCAGAGGTAGAACCCTGGTCTCATTCCTTGTGGCCTTCAAATCCTTTGAAAGAACTTAGTTACCTCAGACACTCTTCCCACCTTTCCAAGATTACAATTTTTATGGTCAGATCATTCCAGAAATCTTGAGCAAAGTAGTGGTTGAGAAGACATTTGCAGTTTCATGTCAATTTGTTCTCTCCTTCCATTCTACTCTTTCTCCCAACTTTAGATTCCCACTGGACAATGCCTGTGGTGCCTGGTGTGCCATTGTCCAGCCCAGAGCTGAAGTGATGGCTCTAGATGGCTGCCCTGTAGCTCAGTTTTCATGGTGACACAGGCACAGGCAGGGAGAGCTGGTTTTTTTGTTTGGTTTGGTTTTTGCAGAAGTTACTGGCAGTTGTGATGGGCCAGTTATTTATTTTATATTTTGAATGTGAAGGGGAGGCCAAGCAGAGTGACAAATCGAAAATTCTCACTATTTTGCAAGGTTTGAGGCTTCGACTTTCCCAACGGTATTCCAACTATGCAGTTCTACAGTTACATTTTAAAATTGAAGTCAGATTTGGAGGAATGTTTAGAATATTCTGTTCTGTTCAAGACACATACACACACTGATATCATTTTTAATAAAGGACATGTATATTTTATGAAAAAAAAATCATTCCCAAGAAGATAAGAGCACATCTGTGGTTAATATTCAATCAACATAGTCATGTGTAGGTGTCTTTTTAAAAAACTATTCCTCCCATTTCCCCCGCCCCCCCATAGGATGTTTGGATGCCAGACCTGTTGACTTTTGTCTTCTCTTTCCGTAGCGATATCTGGTATGATTGTTCCTCCCATGTGAAAGAATTGCCTTGAAGAATTTTATTAATGAAGAAGTTGGATTCTACGGTGAGAGAAATCTGATACAAGTCCCAGAGTGGAACTTTTAACTCAGGCCTTTTTAAGAGGAATCACAATAACTGCAGATTTTTAAACAAACAAACAAAAAAAATCACCGACCTTGCAAATACTGAAAATGGAAGGCGTCTGCGAGTGCAGGGTGTTGGTTAGAGTTGAATCCCCCCCAAATATTTGGGGGATATATTTATTCTGTATTGATAAAAGCAACTCCACTTTTTCTTTCTCTCTCTCTCTTTTTTTTAAAGCTTAAGTCTGCAATCATCTGTCTTTTATAAACCATAAAATTATACACAAGGGACACTATAAATAAGACTCCATGTTTTAATTTATGATGTTTTTAAAGCTGTGTAAAGGGAGAATGAAGTGGTGATATTTACAAAAAAGTTTAAAAAAAAAGAAAAAAGAAAAATAAAAAAAGCTTGTATGGGACAGAATAGGAATGCCAGTTAGATTTTTTTTTCTTTTTTTTAGAAAACTAAGGGTTGGCTTTTGCGCCTTAAAGCATATCAAATGGTAGTTAGTTCAGACCGTACGTTTTCAATATCTAAACGGACATGCCACTTCTTAGCAGTGCAAGCTTACTTCTCTCTTTTCTATTGCTGTCTTAAGTAACTGTGCAAATTAATGCAGCCTGGAAAGTTAAAAAGTGATGGAAGTGATTACATTTTGCCCTTCTGCTCAAAAAAAGTAAAAAAAATCCAGTGCCTCTAGACAGATTGTTAGAAACCACATATTTAAGCCCAACATCATTCTCTCTTTTACTCATGTCAGCTTCTGAAGCCAATGCCCTCTTGAGAGCGTGGTGGCTCACACACCGAGAATGTCCTTGGAGACTTCCTAGAACAGGGTCCAGGCACAGACTTCCCACCTATGCCCTCCAGAGATCAAGCCAAAACCTCACAATTTGCCATTCAGAAAATGAAAGTGTATTCATCCTAGAATCCTAAATGCTGACTTTACACCAATAGTCCAAAAATAAATAAATAATAAAAACACAAGTGAGTAGGGGGTCTTTGGCACTCCTATCTGTGGAGCCTCACCATTTGTAACATTACAGGTTAAGTCAACAGGTGAAGTGCTTTGGGGAAAAGGATAAGAAGGTGGAGATGTCTAACAGTTTTCTATTCTGTGGGGCTTTTTGCTCTTATATGGGAGGTGTTCTTAAAAATAAGAATTAATAGCTAAGCTATTAGTGCAAGGCTCTGAGGATGTGTTTGCCTGATTTTTTTCTTTGCTGTTGTGTTTTTGTATGTAGTTATAAATACTGTAGATTTTTTTGTGATTTTTTTTTTGCCAAAGTTGTTCTATTTATACATTTTAATGTCTTAACGATGTTTTTTCAATCTCACAAAAAGATTTTACTGCGTATTTTGCAAAGGAAAAAAATAGCTCACTACCTTTTGCTGCACATACTTGCAAAGTTAATTAAAAGGCTTTTGTTTTCAAGGGGATTTTGTAAAATATCCGTATAAATAATGTATTTATCCTTGGAATTTGTACATTGCTTTTTCCCCCCTTCCCTCTCTCCTTTCCACCCTCCAGTTTTGTTTTTTTTTTTATTGTGTATGTTTGCTATGTGGAAAGTGCATATTTGTTTGGTCACCTATGGTTGTTGTAGCTGTTTCAATGTGATTTTTGAACATTTCATTTATAGTTATTTTTAGTATTGTTTTAAACCATGCTTCAATTTTTTTTATTTCCACCCAAAAGCCATTGTCTATTTTTGTATTATTTGTAAGTTAAGAAGTTTTTTCCAATATATGGCAAAAAATAGTAGCATATTATTCTTGTAGTATTTAGTTCTGTAGACTTAAAAAAAATGTATCCATTGCTTTGGAAACTTACAAAAAAAAAAAAAACCCAATGCTGTTTTACTCTTAATATGCATGGAAACTCTCCCCTTGGAGTTTGCATTTTGTGCATTAAATTTCGGGGGAGAAACTTCATAGAAATCACTGAACATACTTTCTTTCTGAAGTCTGCTTGTATATTTCTTCTGTCTTTCACGTAAATATAAACCAGCAGATTGGATGCCTTAACAATGCAAATCATACTCATTTCACTTGTACATTGTAACTGTGCACCAGAACTGTCAGTCATCACTAACATTCTAAGAAAAAAGAAAAAAAGGAGAAAAAAAAAAACAAAGAAATTGAAAAGCACAAAAGAACCGTTTTGTTACCTTAAGACAATGTAACTTTTTCTAGTAAGAGCAAGAACTCATTTACGACAGTGCTGCAACCGTGCATGCTCCCAATATGGATTTTGCAATGGTTTCACTAGACTGTCAGAGTGCGATTTTTATGGGTTGGGGCGGGCAAGGGAGGGAAGGGAGGGAGGAAAGCTGATTTTTCATGGTAAGAAATAATAATAATGATGACTAATAATAATAAAAAAAAACTGGAAAATATTAAGCAAGGTTTAGCATTGCTTCTCGGTACTCAGAGAGATTTGTCTGAATTCGCCTGGTAAGTGCTGGCCTGAATATGTATACAGTTTAAAGCCATATTTTGTCTGGTGAGCCCCTTAACTGTTTGCAAAGAAACCAGAGGTCAGCTGGTGAGGTGTCCGGCTGTGACCCTGACAAAAGACGCCACCAATCTGTTAGCCATGTGTCGTGGTTAGAACTTCTCTTGAAAGCCCAAAGAGCCTTTAAAATGTGTATAATTTGTGTTTTGTTGCTTGTACTTGTATTGATTAGAAAGACATTCTGACTTCTACCCAAAACTTTCCTAAATTCCTTTAAAATACGTCCCCCTAAATACAGAATATGGCTTTAAGAAGAAAATGAAATAGAGAATTAAATTAAGAGTTCAGTGGGGGAGGAATTCAGCCTCTGGATGACTGGATGGCATTCTATGCCCTGACCTCAGCGTGTTAAGGATGCAGCGTGGTGAAGTCGTCTTTACATGTATTAAACGTTCACCTTCTTATCAAAAATTTTTGGAATAGACACACACTGTACAGTTCAATTGTTAGACAACCTAACTACTGTAGAGATTGTTATAATTTTTTTTTTTTTGCAAAAATTCAAGCTGTAAAAACTTTTCAACTTTCACAATATTTAATTAAAGTTACTTCCTGTCTGTGATGGCAGCTCCTGCTTGTGTATTTATTTCTCTAATTCCGATGAACCAAAGTCCCATGTAATGCAAAAGGTCTGTGTTTGCCATTACTCAGACCGGTGTTAACACCCAAAGGAAAGGAAGTGGGATAGGCCTGGGACACCCACTTTCTTTCTTTGTGGGTCCCTGGGGATTTGCTAATCTGGAATGCAAATTGATTACACACAGCGTATTGCTGCCCTCTGCTGGCAGCAGCTGGGCATGCATGTGCCCACACTGGTCCACAGAGGAGCCAAGAACCCTGACAATTTTATCAAACTGTGAGATCCCCGGCAGTGAATGAATTGTGAATCCAAGAACTGGTCATTCTAGAATGCTATCCTGTGTTCTACAAGTCTCAACCAAGCACTTAACAGTCAACTGCTAATTAATCTCAGAGAACTTTCTGGTCAATTATGCATTCTTGATGAGGCATGTGTGAACTCAGGACCTTCTATGATCTACAGTTTTTTTTTTTAAAAACTTCATGTGGAAAACATACTTTTCCTGTTGGACAAAAAAGACATTTATCTGGAGTCAAACATTCCACAGACGCCGGATGAGTGCACACTCATGTCAAGTTGTTTTCAGTTAAACTCTACCATAATCATACGTCTTTCCAATTGCACATTATATGCTTTTCCCACTTGTAAATTATTGGACATGATAAGGTTAATGATGCTTGTAAAATGTCTTGAAAACTCAGCAAATAGCCATAGACCAACAGAAACTGATGGCCAGAGCTAATGGGATGTCACACGATCATTAACGACAGGCATGGCTGATGCGCTTTTGCTCCAGGATGCAGCCCAGTTGGAGATAATGAAAGCGTGTAATGTATAAGTTAATAATATATAAGTTAACGAGTAAAGAAGCTGCCATTTTTTTTCTTCCAAAGGGAAATCATACTGATTATTTTGGCTATCAATAGACATTTTTGGAACTCTGCATTAGATGCAGAAAATAAAAATTGAAGCAAAAGGTCCCTGTCCTCAGGATGTTTACAGTCTTAGACAAGACAAACCTATATCCAAATTCTACTAGTGGATAATGGTTTCACAGGACAGGTACACTACAGTGCTCCATAGAATGGAAACACAACCACTTATGACATGCAGGCTTCCACATTTCTGAATGCCACCTTTTGACAGTGTCATTTGTTCATTTGTTTTTTTCATTAATTCATCCATTCATCCACTCATTCATCCATTCACTCATTCATACAAATGTCAAGTGTTTGCTATGCCTCTGGTACCAGGTAAGGCATGGTAGATGTACATAAGGACAGTGACATTGTTTCCATCCTCCTGGAGTACTTGAGTAAGGCAAACTGGCATTAAGTAACCACACCCATACATCTAACCAACTGATATGGTAAGGAAGAAAAGTCCAGAATGCTCTGAAAGTTTATTACAGTGGGATCTGGCTTCATCTGACAGACAGGGAAAGGCTTCCAGAGAAAGGCAATTGAGCTGAGATGGGAAGAAGTAGTAGAACACCTTAGGCAGAGAGAATGAGGGCAAATGCAATGACTTTGAGCTTCGGGGTGATTTGTTGCATTGATGAACAGCAAGACTGTGAGGAGAGGATGCAAGTACATATGACTAAACCGTGAAGCTTGAGAAGTTTGGTTCAGAGGATATGCTGAGCACCGACCCTGGGGCTGGTATTGTGTGAGATGCTAGCATATACTCAGTAAGTCAGCTGAATGTCCTGCCTGTAGCCTAAGGCAACCTCAGAACTCACAGCCCCATTTTTGCCCATAAGGTCTGTTCTGGTTACAAAAAATGAGGGCCATCCTGGGGGTAAAAGAGACAGGTGGGGCTGGGCCACCAGCAAGCATATGCTGTATCTACAGGGACCACCTGGGTTGCTCCAGACACTAACTCACACATGGGTGTAAGCCTAATGCTACCCATTATCTTTCATTTTTCAGGAATTTCAGATATGTTACTAGAATTTTTTTAGTTGTGGGGGGTTCCTTTTTTAAATGTTTGCATCTAATCTAAAAATAGTGCTTTAAAAAAAAACAGTATTAGGCAGTTAGTCTGTGATCCTCTAAGGTATCAATTTAGACTTCTGACCCAAAGACAAATTACTACACAGCCATCTTGGTATGTTCTGCTCCCCCAGATCGAGGAATACTGAAAGCAGAAGGACGTCAAATGCTGCTCTGGAGGGTGAATAGGAGTTCTGTAAGGGAAAGGGTAATAGAAGACCATGGTCAAGACCCCAGCAGCTGACACAGAAAAAATGATTAAATCTAACAGCATTTGGGAAAACGGAATCAAGTACTCATTTTCTAAAATCCCCTATTCTCTGCAGGAACCATATTCAGTGTACAATGTAGAGATCAGCTGAAAAAACAAAACTCCATTTTACTTGCAGAAACTCCTGGTGAATGAGTTCAGTGTTAAGTAGCATTTCAGAGACATGAACTCTCTAACACACAGCTCCAAGACTCCCATTCTCAATACTGAAATTATCATCTCTTTTCTTTTCAGCATCATTGACTGCTTATTCCTTAATATTACATTCTGAGTACAAATCTGATCCCATGGGAAAGAAAGAAAGCACACCTATTTGCCTTCACTTTGCTTTCTCTGTGCTCACAGTCCTTCTGCTCCCTCTATGGCGAGCCTCTATGGCTGTCTGCTGTCTTAGTCATTATATTTTTTCATTAATCTCATGATAGCCAATGATGAATAGCAGGGAGTCCTCCATGTTATAAAGGAGAGGTCTAAATTTATATTTTAGAGGAGTCATCTTGGTAGCCGCAAGGATGAATTGAGAGGGTGGGGGAAATTGAGGACCGTTTGGAGACTATTGCAGTGGTCCATGAAGAGCTTGGAGTAGGAGTACAAAAGGAGGAAAGTAGACAAGACTAAGGCGAGGTAGCAGCTACAACTATGACTGATGCAGTACGGAGATTGAGGGAGAAGAAAAAGTCAAGACAACATCCAGTTTTGTTTTGTAGTGCTGGGGATCGAATCCAAGACCCCACACATGCTTGGCAATTGCTCTACCACTGAGCTATACACCCCCAGCCTTGCACTCTGTGTTATGGCAAAAGCAACTGCTATATTTAAGAAAGGGCTGATTTCTCTTGGCCATTTCCTGTCCGTGGAGACGGTGATGTCCCCTTCCTCCTGTTGCCTTTGCTTTCTTTCCCTCTTCCAAATATGATCCTCTTCTTCAGAGGTTTCTATATTTACCTTAGGAATGAAATTCAGTTTCCGGAACTGGAGATATTTAGTTACTTTTTTTTTTTTTAACTGAAACATCAAGAAGTTGTATCTTTTCTCTCTGGGGAATTATGCTACAGTGGGACTGATTTTTATCTACTTAGCATACATTTTCCCCACTGATTGTAGAATTTTCACGTTCTATATTAAGAGCAAAAGTTCTAAGCCCTGGAATTAACCACAGACTTGATGATTGGCCTTCTGCAGGAAATACCTGGTACCGGAAATTATCCTGCAATGAAAATTTAGTGCTCAAGAAAGATGTCAATGAAATATCAATAAAAAGGAAGGAGACTTAATGTTAGTTGATTCATTCAATAAGATAGATACAGATAGATTGCTCCAGGACAACAGAGGAATGAAGGAGAACCAGGCAATTAATGGCTTTCTCTAAAGCATTTATTTACTCAAGATGTTCCTAGAGATTTCCTTTGTGTCTGTCACTGGACTAAAGTCTAGCATGTGATTGTCTTAAATTGACCTGTTTCCTTCTTTCATGGCTATCTAAGGAGGATAGAAATGTGAATCTCAAATAATCATACAAGCATAATTACACCTGTGACAATGCTGCTGTCACTCTAACAGAACCGAGGGCACAAGTGGCTCTAAGTCTGTAGAGAGTTAAGCTAGCTCAACAGTCAAAATTAATGAAAGTGCAATCAGATCCCCAACTTTTATCCTTCAAAGGCCATTAAAAAGAATCAAAAGTCCCCAGAATCACCTATTAAAATGACCTTTCTTCTATTGTTTTCTCTTACTCCTTGCCTTACACAGACACCTCTCAATCCATCTGGGAAAATCCCTCCCTCTATTCTGAGTTTATGTGACTTTTCTTTCTACCTTCTTCCATCTCTCTCACTGCTTCCAGAGAGAAAATCTTTCCCTTTTAGCAGAGCAAGAAAAAAGGGAGATACTGTGCCAATCAAATGTAGTTCCCTTTGGCAGGCTGTGGGAGAGAAGAGCCCGTATATATATTCCCTTTTTAATAATGTTTGGCCTGTTCTATTTTTGCAGGAGAAGAAAAGGGAGCTATCAGCACTTAAAGCAGGATGAACTGAGCTGGTCATGTGTGAGGGAAAACCCAAAACAGGCCAGGCAAAGTTTGCAAAGTAAAGTTGGCAACCGAGTGGTCCTAGAAGACACTGTGACCATTTAGGCACTCTCTACTTGTAGATGAGTGGATATCCTACTAACTATGGAAGCATGCTCATTAAAGTCTTACAGTGGCCATGGGATATGGGTACAATTATCCTAGATGAAAAGGAGTTTTTCACCAACCCCAAACAAGAACAATGGATCCCTGTTGGAACTTGAAGGCTATTTATTACATATGAACACACTACTTGTATGTCTATAAAATGCATTAGCCCGAGAATCAGCACATACTAAAAGCCACTTCAAAAGGAAATACTCAAATTCTTTAACTCTCAATCCCTCATCTATTTTGTAAAAAGTAACACTGAGAATGTTTAGCTTAAAAGGGATGTAGAATGAGATTAATGTCACAAAGTTATTTATTGACCAGTGCATTTTAGCCATTTTGACAATATTGGAAACTATCACTCCATTTTGTGCATTCCATATATGCATCATAATATATTTAACTGATCTCAAAATGATAGACATTAGGTTGTCTCATTTCTTTTTTGGCAGTACTGGGGTTTGAACTTAGGGCCCTATGCTTTCTAGGCAGGTGCTCTACCACTTGAGCCTCATTCTTGGCTCTTCTTTGCTTTAGTTATTTTTC